GGTACACACAGTTACAATCAGGAAACACTGTGTTACAAACATATATAATTACTCGTCATCCCACACAATACAAGATGGTACACACAGTTACAATCAGGAAACACTGTGTTACAAACATATATAATTACTCGTCATCCCACACAATACAAGATGGTACACACGGTTACAATCAGGAAACACTGTGTTACAAACATATATAATTACTCGTCATCCCACACAAAACAAGATTACACACGGTTACAATCAGGAAACACTGTGTTACAAACATATATAATTACTCGTCATCCCACACAATACAAGATGGTACACACGGTTACAATCAAGTTTCCTGATTGTAACCGTGTGTAATCTTGTATTGTGTGGGATGACGAGTAATTATATATGTTTGTAACACAGTGTTTCCAATGTGTTACAAATATATATAATTACTCGTCATCCCACACAAAACAAGATGGTACACACGGTTACAATCAGGAAACACTGTGTTACAAACATATATATTTACTCGTTACAATCAGGAAACACTGTGTTACAAACATATATAATTACTCGTCATCCCACACAAAACAATATTACACACGGTTACAATCAGGAAACACTGTGTTACAAACATATATATTTACTCGTCATCCCACACAATACAAGATGGTACACACGGTTACAATCAGGAAACAATGTGTTACAAACATATATATTTACTCGTCATCCCACACAAGATGCCATTACATTACATAATACTCTATGTTATTTAAAGTGGGGATAACGTATAAAGAACCCGCACTGGTAGCGACAGTTGTTACAACAAGTTTTGACTCTATATTACGTAATATTTATGTTGTTTGAAGTGAGGGTAAAGTTCACTTAGCAAGTCAGTGAACAATCTAAAGGTCAGCCAACACGGTGCACACTGACAGATAACGTTATGGCTACTTACTGCTTGTATCCTGTTTCGGCGTGTTTCCTGGTGACGTGGCCCAGTTCACCTTCATTTCCTAAATAGAAACAAAAACATTACTATTTGCAGGGGATACACGAACAAAACGTTATTATCTGCAGGAGATATACGTACAAAAACATTACTATTTGCAGGAGATATACGTACAAAAACATTATTATTTGCAGGGGATACACGAACAAAACGTTATTATCCGCAGGAGATATACGTACAAAACGTTATTATCCGCAGGAGATATACGTACAAAAATATTACTATTTGCAGGGGATACACGAACAAAACGTTACTATCCGCAAGAGATATACGTACAAAAACATTGTTATTTGCAGGGGATACACGAACAAAACGTTATTATCTGCAGGAGACATACGTACAAAAACATTACTATTTGAAGGGGATACACGAACAAAACGTTATTATCCGCAGGAGATATACGTACAAAAACATTACTATTTGCAGGGGATACACGAACAAAACGTTATTATCCGCAGGAGATATACGTACAAAAACATTACTATTTGCAGGAGATACAAGAATAAATACATTACTATTTGCAGGAGATACAAGAATAAATACATTACTATTTGCAGGAGATACAAGAATAAATACATTACTATTTGCAGGAGATACACGATAACGTGTTGAGAAAAAAATGATACAAGTTGAAGAATAACAGATAACCCAAACTACTAATTTAGCATCCAGATTATCTGTAACCACCCTACTGACTTTAAAACTTTTTATTTAAGTTGATAGAAACTTGTAAGCTATAAACTTCCAACTCAAATTTTGACAACAACGTTAAGTTTAGAACGTAACATTAATATAGCATCGTCCAACTGTAATTTAAACACGAGATATAACATTTCCAACTATAGTTTGAACATGAGAAACTAGCCTGCATAATATTATCATTTCTATCTATAATTTAAACTTGAGAATATTAGCCTGTAATAACATTTCCAGCTATAATTTAAACATAAAAAGACTAGCCTGTAATATAGAATTTTGCAAATACAATTAAATACGAGAAAATAGCCTGCAATACAGCATCTTCCAAGTACAACTTCGACATTGCAATCGGCTATTTCTGCTGATGTGTAAGATTGCAGTGGCGACACGTTCTCCCAGAACAAAGAAGTATTGGATATTTACCAGAAGAAGACTAATTACGGACACGAAACAACTGATAATGCTTGGAACTGTAATAAACATTTCTATTCAGCCTAATCAAGTAATAATTTTGGGCTTTTCGTCTGTCGGACAGTATTAGGCAAAGAAGAAAGTTAGAATTTGGGTAGTAACCCTGGCTTCATTATTCCCGGATGAATTAGTTTAAAATGAGAATCAATGAATTCGATGTATCTCCTCTTACACTGCTTTAAATGTTAGCTACAGCTGCATAATATTGCCCAGTTTATATGCTAGCACGATGTCGTGGTACATCACCCCTCATCAGGAATCCAAAGCTTGATACCGTAAGTTAATAGGAGATTCAAATGAGTGTTGCTATGGCTACAGCGTCCACTCATGAATACAAGTAGATGATCGACTATACCGGAATCGTAAGCTATTTTTATATTATCATATTTTACTATGTTTATATACAATACAACTGGACACCATACAAAGACGTATATACACAATACAACTGTACACCATACAAAGATGTATACACACGATACAACTTTACACTATACAAGGATGTGTATATATACAATACAATCGTACACCATACAAAGATGTATACACACGATACAACTTTACACTATACAAAGATGTGTATACACACGATACAACTTTACACTATACAAAGATGTGTATACACACGATACAACTTTACACTATACAAAGATGTATACACACGATACAACTTTACACTATACAAAGATGTATACACACGATACAATTTTACACTATACAAGGATGTGTATATATACAATACAATCGTACACTATAGAAAGATGTATGCATGGGTGATACTAAAAATCATATCGAAACTCTAAAACTACATAAAATCACCGAAACCTCAGCACTTTTGTTACGCAAACCTTGCTTGTTTGTTTATATTATCTACACATTAAATAACTTTAGAAATAAATAAACATTATTTACATGGAACACAAATCTACTTCGAACGATCTTTTCAACCAATAAGATTCTCTGTAATAAACATAGTGGCCAGGTCTACTATCTTTTCAACCAGTAAGATTCTCTGTAATAAACATAGTGGCCAGGTCTACTATCTTTTCAACCAGTAAGATTCTCTGTAATAAACATAGTGGCCAGGTCTACTATCTTTTCAACCAGTAAGATTCTCTGTAATAAACATAGTGGCCAGGTCTACTATCTTTTCAACCAGTAAGATTCTCTGTAATAAACATAGTGGCCAGGTCTACTATCTTTTCAACCAGTAAGATTCTTTGTAATAAACATAGTGGCCAGGTCTTTGATTTTTAGAAATTTCTCCCAACTCATGATCCTTGATCATCTTTAAATACTTCAGGAAAGAAGTAACGAACCAAATATCATGTAATTCGTTACCAGACAAATCTCAGAACGAGTTATCGATTTACCCGGTTCAGTTATAATTACAAACCAGTTAGGTTTATTTCCTAAGGGCGTGGTTTTCCGTACCAATCTGGGTACAAAATGAAAATCTTGCCATAATAAAAGAGGAATGTGCAGTAAAACGTCCTTTCAGAAACACTGTTCTACTTGTTTAAAACATAATAGGTTTCTAAAGTAGCAGAGATTACCAGTACGGCGATGAAGAAAAATGATGGAACATTCTACGATCAATGTTGAACAAACGCTTATGATAACATCTGACGTCAGAGATCCGCTAATAATTAGTTGAAGACAGAGCAGTAATCATGCTTCGATAAACATTTCCACAGAACCCTCTTCTCTGCAAAGCTATTAACTACACACACGATATAACTAAAAACTTTACATTAAAAAAACAACAACAAAAAAAAAACGTTACATTTTTCATTTCACGAAATAATTGTTTTAATTTTTATTTAATGCTGCACAGGCCCTCTATAGCTCACATGAAATATTTCCTAATTCCAAGCAAGACAATTTTCCAGAAAAATCTTTATGCTCTACTGAACTACACTGGTATATAAGAATGGATGGCAAGCACAACTGCCGTGGACCAAAAATATAGCCTCCAAACATGGTAAACATATATAGACAACGAAACATAGGGACAAGACTTGTGTATTGTCTCACAACTTCAGTGGCCTCCAAACATGGTAAACATATATAGACAACGAAACATAGGGACAAGACTTGTGTATTGTCTCACAACTTCAGTGGCCTCCAAACATGGTAAACATATATAGACAAAGAAACATAGGGACAAGATTTGTGTATTGTCTCACAACTTCAGTGGCCTCCAAGACATGGTAAACATATATATATATATATA